GTACATTCCAGCATCCAATACCGAGAGTCCGTCCACGATTGAGTAGTCCAGCTCGCATACTATTCGCCCGCACCACTGGACTAGGGTTGCGGAGCGCGTCGGTTCCCGCGGACGCCGTAGCATGGGTCGTAGTACTATGATTGGACATGTTGCATGAGGTTTCTTGGGAATTTCGAATACGGGCGGGTCCCCAACAGCCGCTCGGATTGTTTGTTCGAGGTTGTCTCCTCTAGCGCTTTGGCTTAAAAACCTAGCCACAAGGCAGCGGTGGCAAGTAAACTTATTTAATGGCGGTTTACGGTCGCCATGTCACAATGCCGTCATTGGGCTTTGCGGCATTTTATAAGGCTTTCAGCGTGCCAGACTTCAGCCCACCACACCCTGGTAGCAATGTCGCTGCTGGTCCGCGACTGTTTATTCGTCAGACCTGGGTCTGCTTATTTCGCAGCTAACCTTCACTGAAGGTCGTCCCACTATCCGCCACCTGTGGACGCGCCGGGTAGCCAGCAGCTAGGCCAACGGGCAACCCGTCTTCCCGGGCAAAGTATGGCGGTCACTTCGTATCTAATCCGGAAGACTGAGGTCTAAGCTGACGTCACATCAGGTACACTCGATAGTAATCAGAGTCACACGAAAGTGGAACCCACTGGCTTAGTTCGGTAGCAGAAGGAAGCCGGGTGAGGGACGGCCGTTGAAGAAGTCGCATTATGTGGATCCTGTGAAAGCACATCGGATTCTCCAAAAGATCCCAAATACCCCTCCGTTGGAAGCTACTTGACATCTAATATCTCAGAAGATAATTCCAAGATTTCGCTGACCAAGTAAAAATGAAAGCTACAAGTAAAGAGATAACGCAGACGGACAATTGCCATTCTGCCTATATCGTGCGCCGCTGTGCGGCTGCTGGTTGGGCTCGAGAGAGAGAGAGAGAGCCCGTAAGGCACAACGGAACGAGTGAGTTCCGTAAGGACGATCGGTGAACGCCCCTTACCATTGTACATTCTGGATCGAAAACCGACAGGGAAACGGGCTCATGACCCAGTGGTTAGAGGCGTGGACTTCTAGCTAGCAGATCGTGAGTCCGAGCCTCTGGTGTTCCACACTTCGGGGTTGGGTATGACTGGCTGACGACTGCTAATAAGCCAGAAATGGCCATTCCAGTCTCCCTTGTCTTTGTCGGTAATGTCATTCTGCCTACATCATGCGCCGCTGTGCGGCTGCTGGTTGTGCTTGAGAGAGAGCCCTTAAGGCACAATGGGACGAGTGAATTCCGAAAGAACGATCGGTGAGCGCCCCTCTACCATTTTAGTGAAATCGTTTAACTTTACAGGTCTTTACGATGACAAATGTGTCATCTCCTTATCTGAGCCACATTTTTAACTGAGCATTTTGCACTTCATCGTCTTCTAGTTGTCGTAAAACGAGTTCTGCGAGTAGCGAGTCAATTGGGACGCCGTTAACCTGTTGTTAATGCATGCCATTGAATTGAAAATATTTATTGTGGCTGAACTTAAGCATTTCTAAGGCGTGTTGTGTCGGAATGTCGATGGGATTGTCTTACGGGCGTCGAGCTACACTCAATTGCGAAGCCATGTGGTACTGAAGAAAACTAGGCGACATCAACTGATAGAATGCTCTCATTCGGAACTTACCTGAAGACCTTGGATCTTTGAAGGAATGCCTGAGAGTTTGTGACGCTGTGTATTGATCCATCCATAACTGAAATCTTCGATACCTACTCATAACTTCCAGCACCTATATTAACATGCTATTCACTCTCGCCTGTTTCGTGACTGTTACTTCGATGTCCCCGAGCGCTCCAGTGCGATTATAATACTCCCCATCATTCATTTCGTCTGACGACGGGTTGGTGTAACCAGCTTGAACATTCACGACCACAACTCGATTTTTCGACTGGCCTGCCCCACTTGTCAGCTCGCCGAGATCCATCGCATGTTTCGCTAGTAGGCGTTTTCGTTACGTTTGTCGCACTCTGCAACTGCGTACAACTCAACTTTTTCTGTGCTTTTCCCCCCATAGGCCTTCCCAATTTGATTACCTTCGTCCGCCGCTTCAGTAGGTGGACGGTCGATATGCATATTCCGGGTATTGTCGCTAAAACCATATTTTAAACTTTTCTGACAAACTTAGTGTCTTACTTTGGCGTTATGTCATGATGACGACTGACAGTGGTCTTCAATTCGAGTTAACCTTGTTCCAACTTCTAAGTGATTTTCATTACCTCGACTACACCCATGTGACGGTATGCCGTCCACAATCCAATTTCTGGGACGCGACTGCTCCGTCCGGCAGAGAGCAGGCTGTTATCCTTCATTAAGTCAAGCCAGTCGGTAAATCCATTGGTCAGCACGCGTAGACACTCCTTAGCTGGTAACTAAGTCCCCTCATTAACCTTGCAAATACTACTCCCCAGTACAAGCTAACTGGTGCGTGCACTTGTTCGACGCTGACGTTTTTCTATTGCCGACTGGGGATTGCCCAGTTTGTTCATTGTCTTCTGCTACCTGGATGTTGTTTCATTTGGAACGGTTATATTCTGCCTGCCTTTTGACCGTCTCGGCCCACTAAAAAATAGAAATCCTACACCTCGACTCTCTGTCCATTGTATTTGTTTTTCCACATTAGTAGATTAGAACAAAACAGTTAAGCCACCCCGTTGATCACTGTATTTTCACACGGTCTTCATTCTTGCTTCTACAAATGCATATCGCTGCTGGAATTTTCTCTAAATTTATTCGATGTTTATTTACGGTTTATTCACAATCTATTCTCTTTATGATAGCTTTGATGGTCTTCCTATGCCATCATCTCCCGAAAAGCTTCGCGGTGAGCGCATTGTTGCACTCTTTTCCGAATTCGTGCTCAAAGAACATCCGCTGATATTCGAAAACCATAAGGAAAACTTGAGTGCCGGAAAATGCTTCGTCCTCATTGTACACTTTCCTGCGCTTTGCGAATACAATAGCCTTTTTTCTCAACAACTGCTGTTAAATCCACGCCAGACCCTGAAACTGTTCAATGCTGGACTTCTGGATGCCGTCAAACAAC